AATAGCGCTGCGCGGATATACTAAAAATAGATTTGAGAGATTAGACTCCCCACGGAGATTCGGACAAACAAGAGGTCAAGTTTGTAGTGAATGTATGTAGCGCGACCATGTAACTTTCAATTTTATTTAGATTTCTCTGGATTTTTTATCAATATGATCGGAACAAAGCACTGGCGTTCGGGGAGATGCAATACAGATTCACGATATACAGAGAATGCCTCAGTCTCTCAAAGAATTTAAGAAAATTGAGTAAGAAAGTATTTATACCGTTCTTCAAGCCTTCTCATGACCTCGAACCATGCCTACAATGGATCAATTCTTGTTCTTGTAGTCCAACAACATCAATAAAACGGTAACAACGTGGCTGCATCAGCCAAGCACAGATACTTAACACGGTTCGCATGAAGCGTGTATTACCGCTCCACTATGTATGGATAAAGACTAATACATTATGAGGCAAGTTAGTTTCATAATAATGGTCGCTCTTGTCTGTTGCCCTTGTTACATCGCACAAAACGGGAATCGACATGTCTTCGTCCGTTTTTAAAAGGTTTGTCCGTCATATGTCTAAAGCATCCTCGAGCGTATAGTTAGAGTTATAGATAGTTTATTAAACAAAGATAAATCGCAGCCAAAGAGCTGAATTGGGTTATTTACTAAGTCATGTAAATAAAAACTATTTAAAAAACTGAGTCCAACATACAGTTCATATATTGATATGGAAGCAATTAGATCGTCAGAGACGGCACATGGCCAGGATGAACGAGTTCCTATACAGTCTCTTAACGCGAGCAATTAAGTCAACTCGCTTTCCTTGCACTTTTTTACCYCCACATCTCAACTAGCGTTATAATTGCTTGACAGCATAGTTGTCTGGATTATTTTGGAGCTTTGAACCAGGAAAATCGTCATTTTCTGTCAAAACTTCTGCATTTTGGAGCGAGTTTAATGAGTCGCCTGTAAATTCCACATACATTTCTCTTGTATTGACCTCAACGTTTGTCCGAATGCAAGCGGGGGGTCGAAATCTGTGACGTAATATCCGCGCAGCGCTATACATTCAGTATCGAGTTTCAGTTGTTTTGATAGTGGCTTTTCACGGAAAACTTACTTCCATGTACTTCCGTAAACATACAAAATCATCCCTTTTCTAGCATAATTTAGCACCTATTTTAACGACGGCGACGTTCAATCCGCGAAACAAAAATTGTACTTAGTAATGTTTGTCTCACGGATTTGTTTCACGGATTAAGAGCGTTAACTCTAACAACTATTTAGCTAACGATTTTAAAAATTCATTATTCGAGCCGCGAGACTATTGTTGTCATCACATTTTGACGTTATATGGCCATGTATTGGATTACAGAGACACTGATGAGACATGTTTTTAAAAATATATAAATCGAAGGAAGAAATGGAAGAAGAAAAATGAAATTTCGTGGGATCCACGGACATGTCAACTCCATAAGACTCAGTTTAAAGTCCCAGTGAACACAAGTCCATTCCGGTTCGGAAATATTCAAGTTTTTGGGCCAGTTTGGCTACGCGTTCGTACGGGACCTCCGGAACTGATATGACCTCATCTGTGAACAAATCAAACTGTTTCTGGGCAGTTACAGCAGGCAAATTAACCAAATACTATTTGACATCCACAACTGTTCATTCACAAAGCACGCAYAGATGAGTTCTGAAAGCACTAGTGAAAGCACTTTCTACTAGAAATCGTGCCAATTTCTCTTCCCGCTTCGTGCCTGAATCAGGCTTTTGCAGCGAGCCGGAAGTGAGTCAGAACACGAGGACTTCTAATGTTGAATAACATCAAATCTTTATTTACAAAACTACATATAATGTATTTGCTACAATAGATTATTCTAATAATATCAATTATAAAGTTATCACTGAAATTGTATAGCAGTTCTAAGTTAAAATGTCATTTAAATTTAATACAATTAAACTGCCATGCTACAWGAAGTCATCTTATTTACAAAGAAGCAGTCATCTTTGACTGCAAAGCAGTGCCTACTCTCGCCATGAGATCGGTCAAATTCTTATGGGCGTCAAATATATCTTCACTTGAAAGGCGAGCAAGAACTTCTGGTGTTGCAATCTCAACAATGGAYTTCAGCGACTGGCAGAATTTTTTCTCTGGCGGTTCGTCTTCTGACTCTGATGACTGCAAYTTTTCCACGTTGCCGACTTGAGTTTCATTATGTATTTTATCATCACGTAAGCTTGGTAYCTCATCTATTTTAATGTTTTTAAGTTGCTTTTCATCTGTAATTTCAGCACTGACTGCAGCGTCAGTGTTTTGCTCAACATTATCGTCATCTTTTCCGTCAAGTTTGGACATGACTTCATCGTAGAAATTATCTYCAGTTTCTTGACTTTCCTCCTGAGAAAACAGGACGATAGGTTCTGTTAGAGATGATCTTGCCGGCGTAACGTTTCCTTTCTCAGCAGCACTTTCTCTTCGACTTTCAAWTGTGGTTACTGGTAGCGGAGGAGTAAAACAGCCGTCACTATTGGCTGTTGCAGCGTCTTCTTCGTGTGTCTCCACTTTCCCCGAAGTTTGCTCCGCACGACTTTCATCACAAGTTATCTTATCATTTGAATCACATCTCTTGGTTTCTTCTCCGTGCTCTTTCAATTCTTGCTCTTTTGAAGTAAGAGGTTCCTTCGTTGACTCTGCCTCATTACTATTGTCAACAGCAGGCTCGTTGCATTCTGGGATAGTTGGGATGCTGTCATTAATAATTGTGTGGGATTTCTTTTCTTGACCTGAAATGAATCAATGCATCAATCAATCATTCAATTAATCAATCAGTCAGCAATTCGGTTGTCTTTCCTTAGTCATTACAAAACTATAGAATATAGAGTAGCTTTGAGCAAAGAAAAGTTAGATTCACATAATTCAAAATGGGTTAAGCTAGCGAATATTTAATTAAAAAAAAAAAACATCTAGAGCGGTACACTTAGTGTGCCCTTCAAAAATCTGTAAATAATTTTTTTTTCTTGGTCTATTGTATGTGTAATCCGTTGTGTATATGTTCGTATATGTATGTTAAAGTGTATATCGTGATAATAAAAAAACTCTTAAAAAAAATCAGTCAGCAATTTTAAAATGAGTCAATCAATCAATCAATGAGACATTTTGACAGTAAAATCAGTCAGTCATTATAATGATTTGCTTTACAATTCAAAAAGTAGGAATTGGCAAATAAAGGCAAGCGCAAAACACTTGGAAACATACACAGCGCAAACATTGACAAACCTGTCCATAGAGTCGTCTTGGCTTTGATTCCTTTAGATGATTTCTGGTGGAAACTCTGCAGGGCTGTTCTCAGAGTCTGCACCTTGGGCGATTTGATGGGAAGGTTTCTGATCTGATGCTCTTTGAGTGCCGACAGGTTGCCAATAGTTCGGATATTCTGGGCGTACACCACGTGACCAAGACCACGTGACCAGGTGATTGATGTCAGGGTGGGTAGGATCTGTTCCACAGGAAGACTACAGTCCACTAGGTCAGGGTAGATACACGGTCCACTTTCTTCATCAGCTTTGGTTGGGGTTTTACGTCTCTGTGAAMAAGTATAATCTTAGTCTTAATGCTAAACAACGCACAAAGCCATGTGGGATAGGCTTAGTAAGAACATGCGTAGTTACTAATTTTCTGAAAAAGCAATTTTTGTTTAAATTGGAATCATATTTTTATGCTATTGCAATATTTCGATATTTTCACAACAATCAAAAGTACGTTTCGATTCATGAATTTCACATTTTTTTCAAAAATCCCTTACCCGTTTGATGAGAGTGAAAGACGACGAGTCGGATCTTGATGGTGTTGTTGTCAAAGTTGCCGACTGGGCGGAGGTCTCATGCGGTTGAAACGTGTCACTTGGATTGTCTGGTAATGCAGCCTCTATACATCKATCGTTTTCAGCTTCCTGAGCGAGAGGCTGTGCAAACGATACACGTCTCACCTGAAGAAAAAAKCAACTGAAATGACAAAAAGACTTTGAATATGCCGGATGCTAGGAGACTCCTACAAAAGCTTGAACTGACACTGAGCATTGAACTTGCACAATTTGATTTGATGCCAAGTATTACTATGTTGGGTTGTAAAGCACTGTTACCAACAGAGGTAAAATCGTCTTTCAAAATAGCCGGCATGAAGACTTTAGGGGTGGAGGAAGGGAGAGTTGGGCACTCCATCCCAGCCCCACACTCTCCTTCCCCCCTCCCCCTCCCCCGTCTTCCCTCCTCTTCAGCCGTCACTCAGTCAAAGAGGCAACACCTACCTTGTTTGGAGGTGAAGGAGAATCGTAACGGCCAGTAGATCTCTTCAGGATACTAGTAGTCGGCGATGCTACTGGAGAATGAAATGCTTTGAGTGAAGTCTGGGTTGGACTTTGAGTATTTGGCTTCATAAACCTGATTTTCGCACAAGAAACAGGTGATGATGCTCCGTCGGTATTCAAAGACAGACCGCCATGCACTGGAGGTTTAGCTTTTGCTTCTACGTTTAAATTCTCMASATTTGYTTCTGTTYGTTCTTTTACAWTTTCAGTTGCTTGCAKTTGATTGTCCTGATMTGAAACCTTCTGAGGACTGTCAWTTAWTTCCGAYGAATTTTGCGTCYCAGAAAAAAATTCCGTTTCTGGTATTTGTTCAACTTTCTCAGTTTCAAGGGAAGGGTTTTTGYCTGGTTGTTTCTTTGGTGTRGTCAGCTTCAGCTGACGCCCTCGCCTCGTGCGACCAGAGATAGGCGAGGGGTTCTCTTGCTTTTGTACCGGGACTTTTTTCTTTTTCCCAGAAGATTTCACGCTCTTTGATTGTAAWAGTTCAGATTTCTCCAAATCGGTGTCTATATSATTTGGAACTTCACTATCAGTCTTSGCTTCRGCAACCTTTTCTGTATTATCTTTATTTCCTTTCTTTATTGGGGAAAAGTATTGCGTGACTTTTTGATACGACTTTTCCTTTTCCGTCACGTCTTTAAGTAACACAACCATACTATCAGCAGCAACATTTGTAGATCGTCGCAAAGACTTGAAACACGGAGACRCACCTTCTGATGACAACTGGGAAGAAGGGATGACGTCAGGTGACGTCATTTCCTCTTGATTCGATGACGCCAKTGGTTGGTCTTTGGTAGGTGTCTCTTGTARAGAGATTTGACTTTCAGTTTCATTATTTTGAGTTTCGGCAACAARTATTTCCATAGCTTCTGRYATTTCTTGTACTMGCTCTGGGTTTGCTTTTGGATCTRTCTGGTTTTCATTATCACTCGATTCTTCCCTKGCGTTTTGAATACTCGTTGTGWTTTCTKTTTYATCATTGTTCTTGTTGGTTTGCTCTGACTTCAAGTCTTTAACTAAAGGCTCAGGTAGGTCATCCACTAGAATGAAACAGGCACGTGAATATTGTTATAGAACATGAGGAAGAAATCCGAGGGACTGCCGGAACCACGGACGAACAGCTTTGCAACATAACAAAAGATTGAAAACATCAACGACGACCACGGAGAACAACAACAACAACAACAACAACAAAGTTGAAAGACAATTTACATTAAACATAAAACTTTAAAAGATAAACAATTTTACCTGGTGAAGGAGTGCATAACCTGAAAAGAAAAAAATCGCCGTGTTGTAAACCGCATGTAACAAAAGATCTTTTGTCGAGGCTGTTGCATTGCAGACAACAACTTCAAACATTCAGTCTGATTTTGGGTCATATGAGCTGTCAATCATGAGAGAAAGACGGCAAAGCTTACAAAAATGCCATATAATAAACTCCGGTTTATATGAACGACACCTTGCCATAAAAGCCCAAAAATGTCGAAAACATAAGTTGACGACGCCAGTTTTGCACTTACGTTTCTTGAGTCATAAACGTCGCATCTTGAGACTGATCCAAGAAATTATATAACGCTGGAACGACGCTGTTTAAAATGATGGAGGGTTTATCATTAGATTGTTTACAGATTGTCATCCAGAATACTTTTGATTTTCCATGAACTGATACAAAATATCCATGTAACCTGTTTYATCTTTTTCAGTTTGTCAACACAGTAAAAATTAAGTTTATCAATAGGAATCTAATACACCTCTCTAGCTTTTGCATGAATGTCACAAAACAATACTTTCAAGTCGAGGCTGGGAAGGTTAGAATATGAACTCTGTAAATGAACCCGACCAAGCTTCGACATCAATCTATTGTTTGACARTGATCTGACAGTCTTGCAGATTCAAGGGAAGTCTGAGTTTGAAGGAATGAATACCTTTTTTCACGCATTACTTCTTTTTGATGCTCAGTGAGAAGTCGTTTTTTAGTTGGAGAAGGTGCAATCGTGACATAATCCTACATAATAAACGTACACTATTAGTACTCTATTTACATATTGGATCATGAAATTTACTATCCATAGAGGGACGACATCGATCTTTTGTGAAAACGGTGAAACAAAAACTAGTTTACTAAGGCTTATGTAACAGTTAAACAGCATCGACTGTAGAAGCATCGACTGTAGACTTAGCTACGTGGTTTACACAAGCAGTGCGAAAGCAAATGAATCGGTTTACACGTTGAAAATGCAAACGCAATAGAAATAGTTTCACTTCTTAGTGGTCCACGAGTCTAAYATCTCTATTATATTGCTGATTCTGACTAAATATATTTTCTGCTAAATAGCTATAAATGTTTGAAAAATAACCATTGCTTTCTAGTGTCCCATCTGAACTATTTATTACTAATCATAGGTTGATGTCTGCGTTGCTATAACATGTACGTCCAAGTATAAGTATATATAGCTATATCAAACCTGACTGTCATCATCAAACACGGACAGCGGCAGTTTTCTTCTAGCATGCGTATTTCGATTAGAGGATTTTGCTTTGGATGGAAGTCGTGGTTCAGTCCAAGGCTACAACAAACAAAAAATGATAAAGGGACTTGAAACTCTAATTTTAAAGATAGCCTATTATATAAAACATGCTAGTTTATAATAATGCGCATGTGCAGACTTTTGGCATTCACACTGCATTCACATGCAATGTTTGGCGGGAAGAAGAGCAATCTTTAATTGCAAATGACAAAGTGCTTTTCATTGTTCTAATTAATAGTCTTTTCTTCAACTTTGCGGTTCCTCTTAAACCTAGCAAGGCATGTAATCCTCATCAAAAGTTTGWTGGGTTAGGTRGAGCTACTTGACATAATCCAACTACCTTTTTTGGTGAATTTTTTTCTACTGCTTTTTCCGCTTCAGCTGCCTTATGCAGAAAACTTCCCTTAATTTTAGGTGAGCCTCCAAAAAACATGATTGGCTTTATTCTCACAGGTGAACCCTGCGTTATCTGCGTCATTTGACTGGGCTCCTCGATCTTRAAGACAAAAAATACATAATTAATCGAATATCACGTGAATCACAATGTATCACAGTTTGTTGGAGCCCTTCTCTGTTCAATGATCTGCACTGGCAACGAAACCAAGTAACTTAAGCATGACGTTGCCTTGTGTTATCCATGACGTGATAGGTGCTTTTGCCATAGTCAGCAATCAGCTCAGGATTTAAAACTCCAAGAAACGAAGCTAAAACTGAAACTGAACACTATCGCAACTTCAATTTAATTTGGAATTGTGATATATTGTTATAGAAATTCAGTGGTACGCACCTCAGCTGGGCTTCTCTGTTTTGAATTATCCTTAAAGAGAATGAAGAAAAGAAACAAATTGAGGAAAGGTGATGAAATTGTCCAGCAAGTATTACTAAAAAACAGCTTTTGTTCATACCTCGCTCCATCCAGGTAAAATCAGACAAGCTTTATCTTTCACAGACTTCAAAACAGCCCTAAAAATTAAGCCAAACATTGTTTGTACCAATTAAAAGGTGACCAAAAGGTTTATACTTTACAAGACAAGAAAAATATATAAACTTAACACATACTTTAAGCTATTTGGGTACGTTAAAGTTGCTGCAGTAGCAAATGTTGAATTCCAAAACTGAATGGATTGGTTTTTTAGCTGTCTTCGGTGATGAATTAGAGTCACTTCCTAAAAAAACAGTCAAACATTGTAAATACTACATTGGTACTAACCTTGAGCTCAAAATTTTGCGCAAAATGTGACTGTAGTCTAGTTGTTACTGGTTGGTGATGATAATCTTACCAATAAAGGAGACAATGTAGAAAGGAGTTCGCTGCTGTAAGGTTCCCCATGACGACTTTGTACGCTAGTAAGAATATCTAACCACAGCTTCTCAACCTAGAAAAATATTAATTATAGTAATTTTAATTCAGAAAGTAATGTCATAATATCGGTGAAGGATTTCCCAAACCTTTTGAATAAACTTCTTGGTAAAGACTGCTTTCTCAATATTTGACTTCACTTCTTTGGTACTGGAAATAACGGTAAAACGACAAAAAAAGGAAACTTAATAAAAGACAATGCACAGATAGGAATGACTGTAAATTTATACAAAATAACTGATGCACAAGTTTTCAACTGCAAAAGCAAACGCGGCAATAAACACAGTCAAGACAGGCCACAAGTACAGATACAAGAGATCTTTACCTCTGATGTGACAGTTGAAAAATAGGCACTAGTGACTGTGAAAGAGCATCTGTTGCACTTGCAATGACTGAAGGACCATTGAGATGTTGATAAAACAAGGAAAGATTATCAACAATATTTGTTAAAACAACTGCAAAGATACCAGAACAGTCATCTGTCTTCTGGAAACAAAAGAAAACACAAGTACATTACTTGGTGCCCGGGTATTACGCGCACAGCTTTTGCTTACAACCTAACATATGTATCTTGCCTAAGTCATCCTGAAAACGTAGCTGTCATAAGCATTTGACACTGTTTGTAAACAGTGATATTAAAATATAAATAAAACAGCTATAACTATGTTGATAGGACGATTTGACAAGCATGTGATAGTTTGAGGCAAAAATTATGCCATGTAAATAAGTACAATACAAAGATGTGACTGAAAGTAGTTGTCCTCAACTTCATTAGCAAGAAATTTACCTTTGTTTTTATTACATCATGACAAGCTAAAAGAACTTTACTTGTGAGGTGTAAAACACTTTTAAAGTTTCCCAAAGGCTGTTGAATCTTCTTGGTCCATTTTGAAGGTGATTTCAGTGGAGATTTACTAATATAAGGTGCTTTAGCAGTGTAGTCCAAGCATTCCAGTATGACAGAAACCAAGTTTCCCATACCAGACAAGTAATATACATCCTGAGAAATGGAAAATATGAATAGAAAGAGAAAAATAAGAAAGTCTGTATTGTTGTAAATTGGAAATGTACAAGTCAACAACAAAGGCCTCCTGTGTTTTAGAACTGTTTTGTTTTGTTTGTTTGTTGTTTTTTTCAGTGGCCCACAAGAAGGATGTCCTCCAAGCACTCATTTATATTCAGGAGGTAACTTCTTCTCTTCTTGTTTTTCTTTTTCTTATTCCTATATTGAAGAATACTACAAAGGAAGCCCAAATGTCTTGGGAGGGAGTTGTTGTAAATGGTATTGCAGCACTGACCTTGGCCTTGYTCTCATCCCAATAGGCAAGAAGTTTAGAGCACAATTCCTCTGCATATAAGTTAGCGTCTAATGAGGAAACTAAACCAGCTGCTCTGGAGAAGCTTCTGTAGAGGTTTTCTAAATCCTTGTTTATCAATCTGATTTGTTCCTGTGTAAAAAATAATATATGTCAATCGCTTGGATAACCTTCAGAATTAGCCAGAAAAATCTTTTGGGCCATCACTCTGTCACAAGGATGATAATTAAATTAGACCATRCACTTTTGTACACAAAATCATACTATCTATTGCCAATAACTGGTCATTTGAGTCTCTCTTAGGTTTGGTGCCTAAAAGTTAAGTGACTAGTGTAGAAGTCAAAAATATGCAAAGACACTAATTTCATTGGTGAGTAACTCCCAATTATACTGAATAAATTAAATTTTCTACCAATCAGCTGTCAATGTCAAGTGATGTTGTCCTTTCTAAGCTATGAATATGTTGCATACCTGGTCTAAAGAGTTATTGAGAAGTTCTTTGACTGGCAACATGAAAGCAAGATATACAGCAGTGAAGTCGTGTTCCAATGCATTTCCTTGGTTAACTTCATTGCTCTTAGTAAATAAAATGATACCAATTAAAATGATTTTACATTTATTATGRTTATTATGTAAATGAAAAGCAGGGCACATGTAAATCATGATGATGGCATCTATTTTGACCTTTGGTCTGTTTCCTTTTGCCAAGTTATGGTTGTAATGCTTGTAGCCCTTTGATTCAYATACAGTTCCTTTTTCAGAATGCCACTTACTTCCAAATTCARTGAAACCCTAAACACTAACCTTAACAATGTACTCATCTAGAGAAGCAGCCACATGACTCCACAGTCTCCAAAGACAAGACTTATCATTGATATAACTGTAATTTAAAATTGAAAGTATACCATAAGCATACCATACACTGAAGAATTTAAGGTTTTGTTGAAARGAAATGTTGGTAAAATTAGCAAGTTAAGAACAGAATCAAGGAAAGAGAGCTGAAAAAGGCTATGGAAAGGCACAATGTACACAAACACAAAAAAATGCATGCACAAAGGGTCAAAATGAGGTAACATACAGAAGTAACAAGGTAACAGCCTACATACCCTGCTGAATTCTGCATTATCTGCAATACTGCCTGTACATGAAATAGATGACCAGAAGGTGCATTCATACCACTTGTGAAGAAGTTTTGAAATCCAGTGTGAAGTCTAATGGAAATGGGTTAAAAATTAACAAGATGAAAACACAAGAATTAACAAAGGTCTACAAAAAGTAATTAGCCTCCTTAAAAACATGTTACTCAAAACCTTAAAACTTCACTTAACAAAGTTTCCGGCCCCTTTAAAAGCAATTTAATTAACAGTTCCTCAGTCCCCTTAAGACTAACTAAAATTCACCCAACAATTTTAATTAGCAAAATGTAAATACATGAGCACATTACCTTTCAAGGTTAAGTCCACTTTGCAATAATTGTGGAGACAGTAGATGCTGCAACATCAGAACTGCTGTTGATCCTTGTGGATTATCTTTGGAATGGAGGCTTGCATTGTGATTATTGAGTAGATCAGGGGATGCACTGGAAAGTCTCTCCAGAAATTTCTAGTAAAATGTTAAGTACATGATTAAATTGCAACACTTTATGAAAGGGGTGTTATACATGTATGTACCTTTGACAAGCATATTTACCCTGCACAACAGAGTGCATCAAATTGCATCAATTAGTTCTTAGCTTGCCAAGTCTAGGCCAAGATAAAATATTGTAACACAAAAAGTGTGTCCTTACCAGACATGCTGTAGGAGTTATGTAGTTCCCYTCTATGATTTCTTCAGCACTGGCCACCAGTGGAAGAAAGTATAATTCAAACATTTTGCTTCTGTCTGTTTAATAACAAATGAAACAAAGCATTCTTAAATAGAATCAATTTCCAATTTGCATTTAATTTCATTTTTTGGAAAGCTTATAAGATCTCATTTTATTAATCGCAATTTTCTTTATGTTGGATAGTGTTAGAAGGTCAATGAAAGTACTTCACTTTTGATCAATATGATATTGATCCATAAGAAGTGACTCTGTATGTGAAGCGATTACATTAAATGATTCTTAGGAGCYTAATTTTAAGAATTTAATTCAATCAGAACTCATGAAAATAGGTCTGTCTCATGCTATCTTCATAAAGAACACATACCTGTGCTCACAAGCCTTTCAACTTGGTCAACTAAGTTGGTCCACAAACAGCTAACCAATTCATCTATAGGAATATCAATTTCAGCAATTAAGTCATGTCTTTTTCTTATGAAGAATCCTTAATCCCCCTTAATCCTTAATTGTAGTCGTAGTCATAGTCGTAATCATAATTGTAATCATAATCATACAATAATTTTACTGCATCTGTGTGTACCWGGTATTTCTTTGCCACAAGCTTTTATAGCCTCCCTAACAGCATTTATCAGTACTTTGGCATGTTTTTCTAAGTCACTTGGAGATTGAAAGAGTGTTTCTTTTATTGTCTGATCTGAATAACAYAAAACAAAACMAAACCAAWTGTCAGCAYAATCTGTTTGAAATGTCACCAGCAATACCTCTACTTACCAATAGTGAATTTGATATTTGAAGAAACACAATCTWGGCACAACAWGTTCACYARTATTTCACATCCTTGTYTGAATAACTTATCCTTGGTTGCTTGCGCAAAGCTGGCATTTATAACAGTTGGTGTCTTTGGTGTRCCAACATCTCTTAGAGACCTCCGAGCAGTTGCCTTTGGTGTTTCAAAAGAAGAAATACTCTTGCCAGTGTTTGGAGTTGGAGGACACTTCAGATCTCCAAAACCCTCTTTTGATTTTAGCAAGCTGACATGATCAATGCCAGTGCCAAAAATAAACTGTAGCAGTGGTACGCAAACCTGATGGATCACAAACAATTTAATGGAATTCATTGAATTAATGAATAAATGGAAGAATGGTTGGATGATTAAATGAATAAAGAAACAGACAAGCAACAAATGAAAAGACAACTAAAGGAATGAATAAAAATTTAATGAATATAAAAAATGGATGGACAGACAGTGAGAACAATCAACAAACAAACAAATGAATGAATGAAACACTGAATAGATGAATAATGAGTGAATGAATTGAATTAATGGATGGATAAAATTCATGCACATATAAATTGTAAAATGAGAGGATATAATAATCCAGCAAAAATCCCTGAGTGAACAAATAAACATATCAAGCTAGGAAGAAAAGTGCAATAATGTACATGTACCTTATCAAACAATTCAAGGAGCTTGCTGTGCTCAAAACTGCAAACAAAATGCCACCATGTAGCAAGCCTTGCTGATTCTACCTTCTCATTTCTTTCTTTGACAGCAGAATTCTACAAAACAACAATTAAAACAGAATAAACAACAGTTTGGAAAAAAAAAACAGTACAAAACCTTAGAAATTCTATTCAATACAATGTTAGYCAAAGTTGTTGATAAATTCCAATGAAAATCAAGACAATTATATTTTATATTACCAAGAGTGGCATCATGATAAGATTTACTCTTTT